CCCAGAAGAAATTAAACAGAATTAGGCCAGCCCGTAAAGTTTAATTTGAACTCAGACGATTGCAGCAGGAGAGTGCTATGTACAGAAATATCCTTCAATTGGTTTAGTTAGGCCTAATTGATCTAAACATTTCTTCCTCCTTTAGATTATTATAGTTCGTGCCTGTACTTAACTGTAACAATACATATTTGTTTCTGATCAGGGGGATTCTACAGTTTGACATTCTCCAAATAGAATCGTAAAGGGTTCAATAAAACTGAAAATGTAAATTCATTGAATTTCCCCACAGCAAGATTTAGTCGGTTTGTTCGTGATTGAGCGTTTTACTGGCTGCTCGCACTGTATGCTTCCCGGGAAACTTATAAATTATGTTTCTGGGTGTTCTTGTGCCTGCCAGGGGCAATAATAGTTGTAAAACACATTGAGTATGTTATAGCCTATGGGAATGTGCATACACTTAGTCTTACAACTATATTTTGTGTGACATTGTTGTGAATTCAAGCGCTCGTCAAAATAATGAAATCGAAGAAGCCGATATTTTCCGCTGGAAAGACAGTTGCTATGGATTTCTTATGTTTTGTTTTGGGCTAAATACCTTTTATGTCAATCTGTAAACACATTTCAGAGTGTCGTTTTTTAAACAAAAAGTAAAAAGGTTGGCCGAAGGCACAAAATAATGTAAATTAATTTGCCGTTTTCAAAGACGTTACAGCTTTGGAATTTGTCAAACTTTGGGGGCCATTTTCTTGCGAATTATACCTTTGACACCACCTCCTTCAGTTGTAAATATCTCGACTTCTATAATAATAAATAAATAGTATTTGTATAGCGCATGTCCCCACTCGAAAGCCAGCTCTATGCGCTTTACACTATATTATTACCCCAGAACACAGACTATAGAACACTCAGAAACATTCTCAGCTTCCCGGGAAGTATACATCATCTATTCAAAATGGATGGGCATATGTTCATCAAAACCAAAGTAAATGTACAGGCGTTAAGATATTACAAAAAAACTCATGTCCCAAAATTGATGAGTGCCTGATTCCAGCTTGTGTTGGCACACAATGATCTTTTATGTATAACTTTTGACGTTCCTCTTCCAGGACTCCACTTCTGCTCAGCATGTACCTTGTGGGCGCCGCCATCTTGGCAGTGATGAGCGCTGTGTCTATGGCCGCCACTTTTGTCAACGTGAGTGGCTGTGTGCCATCTACTGAGAATTTAAATGTGTTTGCTGTTTTGTTGTGTTTGTTTTGTTTGTTTTGTTTTGTTCGTTTGTTGTTTTTTGCGTTTTGTTTGTTTGCTTTTTTCTAATTTGGCCACATGCCAGAGTTGACTTACTGGCACCTGTATTCATAGAAAAGTTCCCTCCTTGTTTGTTTTGGTTTTTTTTGTTTGTTTGAGTAAAGAGAAGCACAATATGGGGGAGGTTGGCGGGTGCTGTGGTGTGGTTTGCTTCTTCTTTCCTATCATTTATTTATTCTTTCACGTATTTATGTATTTATGTGTTTATGTATTTATTTATGTATAATGTTTGTATTTACGCATTTTTAAAATGTATTTATGCATGTATTTATTTGTTCATTTATTTACTGTGGGCGTTTGAACAAATAAGGTCTTTGACATTTTGTTTAAATCACATCAACGACATGCCTCCCTCATTTGTTTGTTCTTAATAAAAAGAAAAATGGGACTTGGTTTTGTGGTAGCGTGTACCCTGGGAGGTGGGGTTATTGAACTGAATACTCACCCTAGCCTGATCTGGTAAGGTTTTTATTTATTTATTTGTTTATTTATTTGTTTACTTATTTAGTTATTCGTTTGTTAGTTAGTTAGTTTGTTAGTTTATTTATGTCATTTGAATAAGAAAAAAAAGACTGTGGCACTTTGTTGAAATCACATCAACGACATCCAGTCACATTTTGTTTCTATAAAGCAGGACATAGTCTAGAGGTAGCGTGTGCCCCCAAAGACGGGGTTATTGAACGGAATGCCCATCAAAGGCTGATTACCCGAGCTTTTGTGAAAAGCTTATTATGGTACATGGTAGGTTTCGCACGCTAGTTTTCTCTCATAAAAAGGGAGATAGTTGGCATCGATTCAAAAGTAGCTAAATGTTCGCTAGTAACAGGCTGTGTGGTTTCTGCCTCTCAGTTGTCGGGAGGCAGACAAGTTAAGTAGGCTATTACCCCCCCCCCCTCCCCTGGGGGCGGTGCCACTGACTGAAGTGTAAAAAAACCATGGTGGACATTAATAATATGTTCTTATGCACAGTCGAATTTTAAATTGTAAATGGGCTGATTCATCAATGTTATGCTCATAACTGTGCCTGAACTGCTGCTTTTTCTTCCCTAATCCTTACTATCGTCATTTCCCCTCTACTTCTTTTGTATGTTTGTCACACTCTTGTGACCCGCTATTTCCGGGGTGCCTTGATAGTCGAAGCAGACTTTGTGCTGTTGAAGCTAGAGAGGTGAGCAGAGTAAGTCCGGTTCTCTGTAAGGACCTTTCCATTGACATCCACCCCTTGGCGCTCATAAGCTCGAAGATAAAAATGTGTCATCATCATCATCATCATCATCATCATCATCATCATCATCATCATCATCATCGTCCGCAGCGTTTCCCGAAGAGTGTGGTGAGGTTCGCCACGGCTGTGGAGAGACACGCCCTGCTCAAGACGTTGTGGGCGGTGTCAGCCTGCCTCGTCCTTTTCCTTGTGTCCACCGTGCCTATTGTGAGTGACATATGGGGTGTTGTTGTTGTTGTTGGTGGTGGTGGTGGTGGTGGTGATGGTGGTGGTGCTAGTGGTGGTGGTGGTGGTGGTGATGGTGGAGATGGAGGTGGAGGTGGAGGTGGTGGTGGTGGTGGTGTTGGAGGTGCTGGTGTTGTTGTTGTTGTTGTGGTTGTGGTTGTGGTTGTGGTGGTGGCGGTGTCAGCCTGCTTCGTTCTTTTCGTTGTTTCCACCGTGCCTATTGTGAGTGACATATGGGGTGTTGTTGTTGTTGGTGATGGTGGTAGTGATGGTGTTGTTGTTGTTGTTGTTGGTGGTGGTGGTAGTGATGGTTTTGTTGTTGTTGTTGGTGTTGTTGTTGTTATTGTTGTTGTTGTTGGAGGTGGTGGTGGTGGTGGTGGTGGTTGTGGTGTCGGCTTGTCTCGTCTTTTTCTATGCGTCTACTGTGCCTATTGTGAGTGACCTGGGGTTTTGTTGGTGTTGTTGTTGTTGGTGTTGTTGTTGTTGTTTGTTGTTGTTGTTGTTGTTGTTGTTGTTTGTTGTTGTTGTTGTTGTTGTTTGTTGTTGTTGTTCTTGTTGGAGGTGGTGTTGTTGGATGTGCTGGTGGTGTCAGCCTGCCACGTCCTTTTCCTTGTGTCCACTGTACCTATTGTGAGTGACCGGGGGG